CGCTACAGCCAGAGTTTCTGTTTTTGCACTGCACATAGCAAACAAGCAATCTAGACATCCTAAAACCAAATATTGGCATATTATTTTTATAATATAAAGGATAAATACAAGAGGATAATTATTTTCTAAGAAACTTCCATGAAATTCTACATTGTTTCCATGAGCATGAACACAAGTGTTCAAGGTCGACCCTCACTTCTCCAATGCATAACTTTCCCATCACTTCTCTTTTTGAAAAAAACTTTTTAGCCATAAGAGATAAGTATTTTTTTAATTTTTTTAATTTTTTTGTTTGTTTCACCCACAGCTAAACATAAACAAAAGGGAAAACAAAACTACTTAGTGAAGAAAGCAAACATGCATACACAAGAATATCAACCCCACGCTATTGCTCCCCGGCAACGGCGCCAGAAAAGAGCTTGATAATCCCCAAGTGCAGGGAATCATCATAGCCTTCCAAAGATGAAAGTGATAAGTATGGAGTGTCAAACCCACAAGGAGCTAAAGGTAAGATCAATATTCTCTCAAGCCCTATCTGTTACTGATACGACTCTACATACACCGAACGTTTGCTTCCAACTAGAAATGAGAAATAAAACTATGTTATGGGTATGAAGAGGATAATTTTGCATGATATCGGAGAGCTAGAATATAAAAGTAGGTGTTGTTGTCATAAAGTTAGAATATATTACTTAAGTATTATAAATAGCGAGTGTGGAGTAATGATGGGTCGGTGTGCGGAATTTCCGATCTCTCTTCTGTTACGTTTTTTTAGGATTTATAAGAGGGGTTGGCGTCGTTTTCACGTCAAGGAGGCCCACGGGGAGTCCATGAGGTAGGAGCACCCTCCCGGGGGTAGGGCGCTGCTACCTCTTGAGCTTGCGTTGGTTTTCCTTTGAAGAGGAAAGGGTGATGCATCAAACTAGCTTAAGTATTTCCCTCAGTTTTGAGAACCAAGGTATCAATCCAGTAGGAGACAACGCATAAGTCACTGAATACCAGCACAAACAATCAACAACTTGCACCCAACGCGATAAAGGGGTTGCCAATCCCTTCACGGTCACTTGAAAAAGTGAGATCTGATAGAGATAGATAAATGGCAAAGTAAATATTTTTTGGTATTTTTAGTTTATAGAAGTAAAAGATTGCAAATTAGTAGGTCAAAAACTAGTAAGATGTAAAAGAGATTTAATAATATGGAAAGGAGACCCAGGGGCCATAGGTTTCACTAGTGGCTTCTCTCAAGATAGCAAATATTACGGTGGGTGAACAAATTACTGCCGTGCAATTGATAGAAAAGCGCATAGTTATGATGATATCTAGGCAATGATCATGAACATAGGCATCATGTCCGTGTCAAGTAGACCGACTCCTGCCTGCATCTACTACTATTACTCCACACATCGATCACTATCCAGCATTCATCTAGAGTATTAAGTTCATAAAGAACGGAGTAACGCATTAAGTAAGATGACATGATGTAGAGGAATTAACTCAAGCAATATGATGAAAACCCCATCTTTTTATCCTCGATGGCAATAATACAGTACGTGCCTTGCTGCCCCTACTATCACTAGGAAAGGACACCACAAGATTGAACCCAAAGCTAAGCATTTCTCCTATTGCAAGAAAGATCAATCTAGTAGGCCAAACTAAACCGAAAATTCGAAGAGACTTGCAAAAATATCAAATAATGCATATAAGAATTTAGAGAATAACCAAATAATATCCATAGATAATCTTGATCATAAATGCACAATTCATCGAATCTTGGCAAACACACCGCAAAAGAATATTACATCGAATAGATCTCCAAGAACATCAAGGAGAACATGGTATTGAGAATCAAAGAGAGAGAAGAAGCCATCTAGCTACTTTCTATGGACCCGTAGGTCTGTGGTAAACTACTCACGCTTCATCGGAGAGGTAATGGTGTTGATGTAGAAGCCCTTCGAGATCAAATCCCCCTCCGGCAGGACACCGAAAAAGGTCCCTAGATGGGATCTCATGGGTACAAAAGGTTGCGGCGGTGGAAAAGTGGTTTCGTGGCTCTCTTGGATGTTTTCAGGGTATAAGAGTATATATAGGCAAAGGAACTAGGTCAGGGGAGCTATGAGGGGCCCATGAGGGTGGGGGGCATGCCCTACCACCTTGGGCGCGCCCTCCTGCCTCGTGGCCATCTTGTTGCCTCTCCGACTTCATCTCCAAGTCTTCTGGTTTGCTTTTAGTCCAAGAAAGATCATCACGAAGGTTTCATTCCGTTTGGACTCCGTTTGGTATTCCTTTTCTGCGAAACTCTAAAATAGGCAAAAAAACAGAAACTATCACTGGGCCCTTGGTTAATAGGTTAGTCCCCAAAAAAATATAAAATAGCATATAAATGCCTATTAAACATTCAAAAACAGATAATATAATAGCATGAAACAATCAAAAATTATAGATACATTGGAGACGTATCAGGCGCGCCTTCCACACTCGTGGTGGCCTCGGGACTTGCCTCCGGTAGCTTTTCGTTCTAGTATTTTTTATATTTTCCAAAAATATTCCCCGTTGATTTTTAGCGCATTCCGAGAACTTTTATTTCTACACAAAAACAACACCATGGTAGTTCTGCTGAAAACAGAGTCAGTCCGGGTTAGTTCTAATCGAACCATACTAAAATCATGTAAAAATACTATAGACATGCTAAGAATACTTCATAAATTATAGATACGTTGGAGACGTATCAGGCCAGCCCACGGGAATGCCGTCTCCCAGGCTGCGGCAACGTCATCCGCCGGTGGCTGGGCTGCGCCACCGCGGGTAAGGCGCTCCTCCTCCTCCGCCTCGCGGCGCTCCTCCTCGGTGTCGCGCTCCAGCTGCTCGAGGTAGTCGCCCTCACGGTGCTCCTCCGTGAGCCTGCGCTGCCGCCATTGCTCCAAGTACATCTGCTCCTGGGTCGGCGTTGCCCCAAACCAGATGGGAGGCACGTTGACCCACTCGCAGACGTACCCGGTCCATGTGTAGCCCTCGGGCTTGACGACGGGGGTCAACATCGGCTCGGGGGACGACGGGGCCAACTGCGGGACGACACAGTCATCGGCAGCGGAGAGCGCCATGGCCTCCGCCAGCCGCGCCTGACACGTAGGCCAGGTTGAGGCGCTGCTCTAGCATGAACTGCTGCTGCCGGTGTCGCACCTCCTCCGCGTGTGCCCGTGATATGTCTCAAACGTATCTATAATTTTTGATTGTTCCATGCTATTATAATATCAATGGATATTTTATGTACATTATAAGCAACTTAATATCATTTTTTGAGGCTAATCTACTAACTTAGTGCCCTGTGCCAGTTGCTGTTTCTTGATTGTTTTTGACTTTGCAGAAAATTAATACCAAACGAAGTCCAAATGCCACGAAACTTTTTGGAGATTTTTTTCTGGCGATAAGAAACCCTAGAAGCTTCGGGAGGCCACCAGAAAATGAAGGAGTGGCCCGCCCTGGTGGGTAGTGGGGCCCATGAGCCTCCATTTGACCTAACTCCGTCTCTATAAATACTCTAAAATCAGAAAACCTACCAGAGAGTCCACGAAATACTTTTTACGCCGTCGCAGGCCTCTGTTCTCGAAAAAATGTTTAATTGTGTATTGTTCGTTTCTGCAACACGCATGCGACAACGAGAGGTTTTACTAATACTCCTATAGTCTCTTGTGTTCGGGATTGTAAAAGGAACATTATAGGATGTATTAGTATATACTTTCTCCGTAAAAAAATATAAAAGTATTTAGATCACTACTTTAATAAATATCTAAGTTATAAATTACATACTTCCTTCATTGCAAAGCTATTCATTTTTGAATTAGCTGAGATGACCATTCACATTAGTTAACTCCTAGAAAAAAAGAGGCGGTAAATAAATAAAGCAGGAATGAAAAAGAGAAAGAAAAGACAAGAAAAAAGAGGGGGTTTTGGATACGGAGTTTCTGCTCCCGAGCTCATCTGCATCTGCATTGACGAAAAAAAAATCAAAACAAATATTAGAAAAATCAAAAATTTTAATTTTTTCGTATGGTAGATAATTTGATGCGTAAGGTCCGCTCCAAATTTCAATTCATTTGAACATCTAAGCAGCTCTCGGCAACAAAAACAAAATTGGGATCTGTAAAATAGTTTACTGTTCACGCACTGTTCTGATCTGATTTGTCTTTTTTGACAAAAGCTGCTCAGATGTCCAAATAAATTGAAATTTAGAGCGGACCTCACGCATCAAATTACCTATCACACATTCTTAAAAACAATTACCTACCACAAAAAAAATAGTTTCTTTTTTGAATTTTTGTAGTATTTGTTTTGACTTTTCGGACCGGAAGCAGATGAGCCTGGACACCGAGTTGGATTTTCGGTTTTTTTCTTTCTGAGTTTCGTTTTTTCCTTAGCGGAATACTAGTAGTCCGTACTCCTCGCCGCTACGACCCTGACCGCGCCGCCGCCGCCGCCGTCGCCTTCTCAACTTTGACGGCGAGCAGCCGCGTCGCAGCGGTCTGAGCCAGGGTACCACCACCAGGGCCGAGCTCCGGACATGGCGGCGGGGGCGTGGGCCGCGCTCAGGTCGGTCGTGAAGCCCTGCATCGCCGGCTCCCTCATCGGCCTCACCGTCTCCGACCGCTACTTCTCGGTCGCCGCCGTCCGAGGCGCCTCCATGCACCCTACCTTCGAGGGCATGACAGGTAAGCCCCACCTTTCCCCTCTTCTCCCACGGGCCACGGACACAACCCGCCGGATTCTTTTCCGATTTCTTACCGTCGCTGGCGTCTCCGCCAGGTGAATACGCGTTGGTGGAGCGGCTCTGCCTCGAGCGCTATGACTTCTCCCGCGGCGACGTCGTCACCTTCGTGTAAGCTCGCTCGCCGCCTCCGCCGACGCCCCGGCCGGACTGCTTTCAGAGCGTTCCCTGATGCTTCCAGTGGGTCATGGGTGTGGCGGTGCAGATATAAACCGGATCTTGATTCTTTTTTTTTTTCGAAATGGCGGATCTTGATTCTTGGTGCTGGTGTATGTATGTGTGTATGCAGGACGCCGGTGGACCACGGGAGGAAGGCGATCAAGAGGGTGATTGGGCTGCCCGGCGACTGGATCAGCGTCCCGGAGACGAAGGAGATCCGGAAGATACCGGAGGGCCACTGCTGGCTCGAAGGGGACAATGGCAGCGTCAGCCGGGACTCGAGAACCTACGGCCCTGTAAGACATTCTACTGCTCCCTTGAATTTACCCATATTTGGTGTCATCTTGCTAGAAATATCTTTTTTGTAAATATTTTAGTCCTGGAATGTCACCCACCCACTCGTCGCGGTCAGTGATTTAGTCACCCCTGGAGTCTCTCCGAAACTTTGTTTGGCAGGGGCCACTGAATTTGTCCTGAGAGATTTGTTTCGAATAGGATTACCATCAGGCCAAGCCTGAAGTATGAAGAATGCATTGGATTAGGGAGAACTAACCAAATGAGCAAATGTACATACAAACTGGTTACATGTCCTCTGGAAGATTACTACTGAAGTATGGACTTCTATATCAAAGTGAATATCAAGATGATTTAAGTATGGAGTTGTGATTCTCATCATCGCTACCCAAGAAAGAGCCCATTGCCAATGAGTTGTCCCCCTGCTTTCTCCACCGAAGTTCAACTCGAAAACCCCAAACAATTTCCACGATCAAACTTTGCTAGAACAGAGCGCACATATGTGATGTGTAGAAAGAGTCCAAGGAAGGACACGTGCAAAGATAATTGATAACAGTTAATTTTTATTACCATGACTATAAAATACTGGGATATCATCCAGTCATATGTAAAGTGAGAAAAGAGTCCAACGGCAGATAAATACAAAGATAACTAGCAACAATTAATTACCATTAATATCAAATATTGCTGCATTTTTGCATGCTGCTTGGACAGTTGGCTTGTCCATGTCACATGTTTTAACGTTTAGGTAAGTGTCCGTGAGTCAGCCGCCCACTCGTTAGTTGTCAGAGTCAAAGTCATCCCTGGATACTTTTCTATTTTTCCAAGCGTCTTTGGGATACTTGGCATATGCCAGCCTAGTTAAATTTGTCCAGAGTACCAGCAGCTTACCTCATCAATCCCAGCCATGGAGGTTGCCATATCTGCAGTTGCAGGAGAAATTGTGAGCCGATTCATCTCCTTCCTGCTGAACAAGTACCATTCGAGCCATCCACGCTCGGAGGAGAAGGCGGTGGAGAGGTTGCAGCATTTCCTGATGAGAGTTTGCACCATCGTCGAGGAGGCAGACACGCGATACATCACCAACTTCTGGATGATGGTGCAGCTCAAGACGCTTTCAGAGGCCATGTACCAAGGATACAGTTGTTGGTGCCGCCTCTCGCAGCGCCGCTTCTTCTCTACCTTGCAACTCTCTCAGCTCAAGGATTCTCTCAGAAAACATGCAAGTGCTAGAGGTAGAAGAAGAGCATGAAGGAAATTTTGTGGCACCGCACAACTTGTGCCTTTTCCGTTTCTCTTACTCTTGACAATGAACTTGATTACATGGAGTTAAGTAGCTGGACTAACCCAGCCAAAACGCACCCACTAACCACTACCTTACATGCACCCCCACATAGTTCTGCATGCAGCACACAAGAGGGCTTGACCCACTAATCACTCCACAAACAGCACACATGCGTACAGGCTTGAGTCATCTCCAAGTTTGCAACAGACATGAGCTTGCCCACGGCACACTTGACGCACGCCACAACTGTTTGCGTCCGCTTTTAGCTCCACGTTGATCTGCTGCCGGACTCGGCACTGTGACTCTACGGAGCTGTAGCCATTTTGCTAACCAACACATCCATGCAGACTACCTACTCTTCACTAGCTTGTGCACACACGTCATCTCATCTCTTACGTGAGTGTATGGCCCCAGCCTAATGGTTGAGCATGTCTACGTGCATGGCACTACTAAGTAAATGTAATGAAAAACCAAAACAACAAGGTTAACTCTTAACAACAGTGTCCTGGACAACTTGAGGTACCGGGTCCTTCAGGATGATGCAGGCTTTGACAAGGTTAGCAGCAATGACTTATCTAGTAGCAGCTTGTATCTTGCCAAGCGTTCTCGAACAACAACTGATAAGGCCACGCACCTTGAGGCAGATGGTGCCTTGGAAAGCTTAGAAATTGCTGTTGCTAACATGGCAGAATTTGTTGTGCTTCTGGGTGGATGCGAGCGCATGTCTCATAAGCCATATGATGTTTATCCTTACACCCACAACTTCTAGCAGATCCTAGTGTTGGACCCAAAGAAGACTTCATTGTAAATTCATGGGAGTCAAGGATACCCCCTCATAATTCATTTTCTCATTTTGTTACAAGTCATGCTCCGGGTACACATGAAGTTATTAGTGCCATGACAGGGAGGAAGCAGCGAGAAGTGCCAATCTAATTTTGTTTGAGAACTCGTGTAATGTAACTCATTGTATTTTCTGATGCATGATAAACAGATGTGTTTGCATGGACAAAAAAACATTTTATGGAGTGATTATACACCATTGAACTAAATGTATTACAGAACCTAATTAAGATAAAACTGTATGTTCCATCAGATCCAGCAACCCCCCTGCACTTCTTATTCTAATAAAACCCAAATATCACCCATTACGGTTCGGGCTTAAGCATGGAATCGAGCCAACATGAAGCCGCTCCTCTGCTGAGTGTTGCTATCTTGTATTCCTCTGTTTATATCTGCTGCTTTGATCTAGTTCCAGTTTGTATTGTAGTAAATAAAAAACATACTGCGTTAGCTCAATGGAATAAGTGTCTAATCCAGCTTAGCAGAGCGGGGCTTGCACTTGTCTCGGTGCCACTTTTGATACTGCTATGGTGCCATGTCCAATCTGGTTACTGTCACCATTGAAATTGAAGCACGGTCCATCTGCCGTTTGAAATTAGTCTGAATCCAGAATACTGGTTTGTCTTTTAGTATTTTTGGTTTAAAAAGTAGCAGCACACATGCTAGGGTAACTTAGATTTGTGGCTGATGTTAAGTCAGGAGAATGTTTGATGTCTTGGGTTGCACAATTTTGGTGGGAAAACAGAGCACACCTGTGTATTTGATGTCAGCCGTAGTCCTGGCCATGATGAACATGTTTATTATCCTTTTGTTGTCTGCTGCATGCAGGTGCCGCTTGGTCTGGTGCAGGGGAGGGTGACGCATGTGGTGTGGCCGCCCCGCAAGATAGGCCGCGTCGACCAAAGGGTACCGGAAGGAAGGGTCATGGCACAGCGGAATCTGTAGCCTCCCCATCTTCCTTCCCCGGTTGCTTTGTCCCGCAGTTTTGTTTGTTCTCACAGGAGATTCATCATGTAACAATGTAACATCAGCGGCAGGAGGAGGGCATTTGCTGCTCCGCCGTCGCCCGAGTATAAGCACAACGATAGAGAGTTTCTTCTTTTGTAACCTTTATGGGCTGTAGGAACTCATAATTGTAAGGGGAAGCAGAGCTTTTGGTAGGAGCCTGCTAGGCTAGGTAGCTGTTGCCACTGAATTCGTCTGTGGATCCGGTGTGTTTTCGGTGGTTAAGTTCCACTTCTGATGAATCACCGTTGCTGTGATGATGTATCGTGCGTGGAATGAACATTTCGAATCCACATGCCGATTGATTATCTATTATAATCATGCTATTATTTCGTTGTTTGCGAAGACAACAAAGTTTGATATATTCTAACATGTCATCGCAGATTAAAAGGTAAATGATCTAAAAAAGAACACAGGACGAAAAGAAACCCTGATCAGCTGAATCTTATGAATCTCGCACCAGCAAATTGAATCAGATGTCTTTGGTGGTTTCAGTATGCCCAGAACAAGTGCAAGCAGATTTAAGGCAACTGCATGGTGACATCTTCAGGGTTCTCTTACAAAGGATATGGAGGTACTTCTGCTGCTGCTATGATATACCACTAGCTGCGATGCAGTTTTTTGGTTCGTTTGTCTTTTGGAATTATCTAAGTAATTGATGTGCCAGTGTCTCAAGTTCATAAGTCTCTTCGATACCAGGTCTCTAAATACTAAGCCTACTGCAATGCAAATGCTGCAAGTGTGTTTACTCATCACCCGGCTAACCAAATCCATAAGTCTTCCGTTATCCTTTTCTCACTATTTTTACTATCTTGGCTGAAGGACCAAAGCTGCTCCACCAATGAAAGACAACAGAGAAACCAAGATGTAGAAGCAAACGGAAGCCCACTGATGAACCAAACGCCAGCACCAAATGGAAGCCCCTTGATCACCCATACACCAGTAGGAAATGGAAGGCCCCAGATGAGTCAAACACCAGTAAACAGATGGAAGGCCACAGTTGGACCAAACACCAGGGATAAATACAAGACCTCAGATGGAACAAATGCCAGCAACAAAATCGTAATATTCTAACCTTAGTTTCCTGCAGAGTTCAGTTCTTAGCTAAGCACACAGAGATGTTATAAAATATTTATATCTCTGCATTGCACTTTGCAGGGGTAAGACTAGGTTCCTATAATCCCTCCCAAGACCCCGCCTTGTGTGGGAGCTTCTATGCACTGGGTCTGTCCTTTTACCAGAATCTCATGAACTTAACCTGAATCTCGCGATGCCAGACTGGATCTAGGTGTTGTTGAACATAGAAGGGGCATTACAACACAACATATACCCTGTAATCTGGAGCATTGAAGTGATGTTTTCACGATGGGCAGCCCGGTGCATGTAGCTCCCGCTTGCGCAGGGTCCGGGGAAGGGTCCGACCACTTTGGGTCTATAGTACGCAGCCTTTCCCTACATTTCTGTAAGAGGCTGTTTCCAGGACTTGAACCCGTGACCTCTTGGTCACAAGGCAGCAGCTTTACCACTGCGCCAAGGCTCCCCTTCCTGACGTTTTCACGATGGATGTGTTAAAAATGTTTTCTGTTAGTATGCTTACTGAGATTCCAAATTCTGAAAACCTCGAACGAAAGCGCTAAACATTGGTAAACTTCTCAGAAGATGAGTAAATTGACATTCTTATCTGCATGATCTTGTGGAATGTGCTTATTTTCATGGCAGAACTAGTTTAACGCTGGCAATTCAAATCTTGAAATGGAACACATTGTATTGATCCACCAGTACAAACACAATTTATCTTCAGGAAGATTATATTCCTGACTTTCAGTCGTGTTACAATTATGACTCTGCTCTGCATATGCATGTCTTCACTGCTTTGCTCTTCATGTCCTTGTTAGGTTTTGGATACTGATACTGCTTGCTGGCACCTACACAGGAAGAGGCAATGGATCGAAAGGTCAATCCACAAGAGCGAACTAAGAAGGTAATCAGTGAAACCGGCCTTTGTATCAATGAAATTGCCAAATTGGTATATGATACCTCGAGCAAACTAAAGGTGTTGACTAGCCTGAGTATGAATGCTTTCAGCGATTCCTATTAACGTGCACCTGTTGCAATACTGCTCACAATTCATGGTGAACATCCACCGAGTTCTGGTTCTGAAAAAAGCATACAACTGAATTTACTGAACAGTTGCGCTTGCGTTATGTTTGTTGAGTGTGTGATAGTGGCTTTGTACTTCTGTTTGAAAGTGTAGGAACCACTCAGAATAATCATCGATCCGGACAGTGACGGTGAAGGCCGTACTTCCCGGGCGATTCTCAACGTAGAACCAGGTATGCATTGTTGTTACCAAAGAAGCACGAAATCATCATTTGCAGCACAAAGAAATTGTAAATGAGACGAAGAAAATCACCCTCTGTTATGTATATATTCTGCAGCTGACCTGACAAAAGAAGCCGGCAGCGAGTGGGGCCTGCAGCTTGTGTGGGGGGCGAGGAAGAGGAGGACGAGAAGTGAAACACTGTCCATTGATGCTGCCGCCTTGCTGCTAGGAGAAGGCGAGAGGAGGCGGCAGGAACCTGGGCCAGAAGCACAGAAGGACGAGGCTATTCACGCGGTTGAAGCCGCTCCAGCAAAGCGGTCTTGCCGGTGCAACCCCAAGTACGACACGACCCAGTGGATCACCTGAGGCGGCCTGAGCAGCCATGTCGGCGCCGCACACACTGACGGAAAAAGGTTGTTCGACTTTGGCAAGATCGAAGCACATAGTATCACTTGACCCATGATCCCCACAACTCAAAGACATGCACATCATAGATCTCCAGAGAGGTAAAGTCCTTTTTTCAACCATTTGAACTGTTGTTTACACGACTTCCACATGATGAACAAACTGAAGAATCACAAATGAGGTATGACTAGCACTTGCAACATGGTTGCAGTGAATTTATTCTACATGCATTGTATAGCTCCAACTTAGTCCACTGGCACTGGCTGCATTGCCTCAGCCTCCTTCCTCAGACCCTCGAATAGCGCCGACGATAAGTATCGCTCTCCCGCGCTCGGATGAACAGTCTGAAACAACAGAGGTGCATCGGTCAGTCAGTCTTCTGAAACTTCTCCATCTTAACATATGTTTGCATAAATTTCATAGATATGGGTATGTATGTCGTACCACGATGAGCTTCCCTTTGTTTTCTGGCCTCTTTGCGAGTTCGATCGCAGCCACTGTGTTGGCTCCTGATGATATCCCCACCTGAGAAAATGTAGCAATTTCAGCACATTTTGAAGTAACCAGTTCAGTTACACATGAGCCAATATAACCATTATTTTCCTTTCCTTAGGGAGCAGTTTTTTTTTTTAAACTTACCAGCAGGCCCTCCTGCAGTGCCAACTGTTGCGCCATCTTAACGGCGTCCTCGCTTTTCACCTGTCAATTACATGCATGAGTTCAGTAAGAATTACATAATCTATTCTACCAAAAGAAGAAGTCCAGTTTGATTCGTACCTCTAGAACCTTCTCCATTATATACATATCCAAAATATCTGGCTTAAATCCAACTCCATTTCCAGTGATGAGGTGAGGCCCTGCAGTTGGGTTCAGTTAGCAACATGATCAGGAACTAACTAAAAAAAGATATCTAGCATGAAAAAGAGAAGAAGAAGGTCTGATCATTTTCTGAAACCAATATCCTACCTGGCTTGCCACCGTTCAGGACATTTGCTTCGGCAGGTTCAACTCCATAGATCTTTGCGTTGGGGTTCTTCTCCTTGAGGTACTTGCCGACGCCGGTGACGGTGCCGCCGCTGCCGATTCCCATGACGAAGATGTCGACCTGCCCGAGCGTGTCCTCCCATATCTCCGGACCGGTAGTCTCGTAGTGCACCTGGACGTTGGCGGGATTCTCGAACTGCTGGAGCATGAAGGCGCTGGGATGGTTCTCATAGAGCTGGGTTGCTTTCCTGACGGTGCCTCCCATCCCCTTGGCCGGGTCAGTGAGCACGAGCTGCGCACCGAAGGCCTTCATGACCACCCTCCTCTCGAGGCTGGTGTATGATGGCATCGTCAGCACGAGCTCGTACCCTTTGAGTGCTGCCATGAACGCCAGGCCGATGCCCATGTTCCCGGATGTGGGCTCGATCAGCGTCGTCTATTTCAGAAGCGACTTATGGTTAGTTTCAGATCCATATGCAGGTGTCATAGTGTGACTGATTTCTTGCAGAATAACGGTGTGGTTTTTTCAACAAGAACTCTGAATTTCTGTCAAAAAAAACTGACACAATGAAGGACATGCCTCCTATTGTTTCGTGTTTTTGCAATCTCAATGCCATTTCCAAATGAAATAAGAACTCAATGCTGAATGACCGGTTTTCTTTTATTTATTTATTTATTTTATCTATCAAAGTTGTTGCTTCCTTCTTTTTTTGACAGCAAATTGTTGCTACTTCCTCTTGGCTGTTGAATGGGCCTGAGCTTAGTTCAAGAGGTACAATACTTTTTACCGAATACAGTTGTCAATCTATCTGAAAGCATGAGTGACGACTGACCTTGCCTGGGGTTATCAGCCCCTTCTTCTCCGCGTCTTCGATCATGGAGATTGCTGGCCTGGATCATACATCAGACGTATTAATCACTTATTCACACAGGAAACAGAGGTGGAATTCTTGTTTCCTTCAGATATACTGACGGATAATAAACAGGCTTGTTATTTTCTTATTTCGTTTTACATGCTTGTTTTGGCTGTATATATATTCTTGCGAATAAGTAGAGTAAAAGGTAAGCCTTCAGGTTTGTAAACAGTTAAATCAAACAAGTGGGGTTGTCAGCTCCACTAGGATAAGCTATAGTGGAACATAACAATAGAGATCAGATCCCTTCCACACTAGCTTGTAGATCTGGATGGAGAATTATTGTACTAGTACTAAACTGCAAAGTAGCAAGA